GGCTGATTGGGTGGATGGACGCGGCCGGCAGGTTCAGCCTGTATCTGCTGACGCGGAGCAGGAAGCAGGAAGCTTCAGTTTGAATTGTTACTCAGCAGCTTCTAAAAGGAAAGATTCACCTTCCAGCAATCAGAGCATGGCGTGACATCATCACGCTCTGATCAGGAACTTCACTTTAAGAAAAAACAACATCTAAAGTTTCTTTGTTGAACTTTGACCTCCTGCTTTCTGCTGAGGGACCCGCCCATCATTCATGTTTCCAGAAGGTTATGAAAAGAATATAAAACATGATGTGGAGCCTGAACACCCGGCTGGTCGTATCCTGAAACACCTAATCCTACTATTTACATTCCCAACCAAGTCAAATGTTTGCTTTAAGCACCAAGTCAGACCTTTGCTGGACTTCATGTTAACTCTGTTGCTTCTAAAGAGGATCCATCCTTTCAGTTTGTGTTCCTACCAGGCTGACGGTGAGCAGCACAGGCGGCGCGTATCTGTAGGAGACGAAGATGAAGCAAAGTCTTCCTGCTGTGATCGAAGCCCAAAATATGCTGTCCAGACAGCCTGCTGCTTTATGACCCATCAGCAGGGGGGGGGACACGGCGTAGGTGTAGACAAAGCCGGCATAGCAGCCCTGCAGGTAAACAAACAGCAGGTTTAGTTCCAGAAGATCTAACAGCACAGAAAGGAAAACCTTAAATTGGAAGCAGAAAAAACAGATCACCCTGAACACATCATCCCCGCTGTCAAACATGGCGGTAGCAGCATCATGCTGTGTGCATCCTTAGCTACATAACAGACGAATGAGCTAAAACTATTAGGATCAGAGACTGAAGATCAGAGACTGGCCCATTTCCACTACCGGGATCGGTCTGAGCACGGTAACCATGGTAACTGTTGAGTACAACTGGAACGCAGAACTGAAAAGCCGACTCTGTCGAGTAAATTCATCAAAGGCCGCCTTCTGCGCCTGACGCGCTGCAAACTACCTGTTACGGGCGCCGCCATGTTGGTTTGCTTGTTTCCCTCTACAGAGCAGTAGTACCGTAGATCGCCACTAGGAGGCGAGGAACTGTCGTAAGGAACCGAACTCAGCACAGATCGGTTTTCAGACGGGAGTGGAAATGGAACTTTAGAGCCGGAGCTGCATCCATTAGTGCGGAGGTCAAAGGTCAGGCATAAATCTGAGGTAAAATTCAAACCTTCAATCGTTCTCCCTCAAAACCTACGAAACTCGTAACTTAGCAAAGAACGAGACTTTCAGACGAATTCATAGTTTTAATTTTATATTTTAGAACATGAAGGCAAATATATGAAGCATTCATTTCTAATGAATTATATTGACTCTCTTCTTCTTCTCCACTTCAGCTGGAATGATGGCGTTCTGCCCCTGATGGGAGGAAGTGGGCGGTTCCAGTGCAGGCGCAGCGCGGTTCACTGGTGCTTCATTTAACAGGCTTAGCTTGGTGCCCCAGTCTGACTCGGTTACTATGGCAACCGAGGCAGTGACGCCGAGCCTGGTTCAGAGCTGACTAAGCACCAGGGGGCGCCGTCAGTGAGAGAAATCATCTGACCCACAGCATGACGCCATCGAAAACAGGTTCTATGCTAAAGATCAGCGAATGAAATATCTAAACTTCATTAATCATCAGTTAAAACGATAATAATAATAATCTCACTATAATTCCATCGGTGATGAAGACGATGGCTCCGCCCAGGGCGTGAATGATGAAGAAAGTAGCAGGATGACCTCGGAGGAAGTCCAACGCCCCCCCGCATCCTGCAGAGAAATGACAGGTTTGTGTGTCGCAATTCAGTTCAATTCTATGCAGTTTATTTCTATAGCTCCAATTCACAACATCTCAGGTTTATAGATCCAGATCAACCAGATCACCCAGTCAGATTGATTCAAAGTTTTCTATCTAAGGAAAACCAGCTGATTGCATCGACTCATTGACTCTTCAGCAATCCCTCACACTAAGCATGCTTGTAGCGACAGTGGAGAGGAAAAACTCCCTTTGAACAGGAAGAAACCTCCAGCAGAACCAGGCTCAGTGTGAGCGGCCATCTGCTGAGGCCCACTGGGGTTCAAGGAGACAGAAGCAGACATAGAAAAAGAAGCATAGATACAAAAGGCAACTGTCATGAAGAGAGCACATCCAGTTAGTCACAGTCAGAGAAACAGGACTACACTGGAAAACAGGCCAAGCTCCAACATCTAGAAACAAAGGTGTTGATGGCAGCAGCACAGCTGATATTTCTCTCCAGGATGGAGTCACAGCCAAACAGGAACAGACCAGATGAAGCTACTATGAGAAAAAGCAGAGAGAGCAGAACGTTAGAGATTGAACTAACAGATTCTGCAGAGTGGGAGAATAGAGATAGAATGAAGCAGAATGATGAAAAAGGGGTCCCTATGTCCTCCAGCAGTCTAAGCCTATAGCAGCAGAGCTACAGATAGCACTGGAATGGGGGGATGAGCTTGAAAGAGACGTCACCTGGACAGGCGTCCCTGACTGTGGGGCTTGAACTGGTGTGGGACTCCTTGTCCAGCAGTGGGGGGCTCCCCCTGGAGCAGGACACCAGCCTCTCATGGAACATCAATGCGAGGACAGCGGCTGGCACTGGGAGCTGCCCACACACACAGAGACACCACTGTTTACTCTGATAACTAAGCACACTTCCTGTCACCTGATGGGCTCCCTCACATCCTGCAGATCCTGTTCAAACGGACAGGAGAGCAACTAACTGCTTTAACTGACGTCTGAAACACAGACCAGCTGTGAAAAGTTCTGCAATGGATGATGGGAATTCATCCACGTTCTTATTTGGGTCGTCTTTTTGTGCAGAAACATCTCAGCTCTCTGTGAATAATCCAGAGTATCCCATGTTCCTCACAGCGGCGCAGCTTCAATTATTGCTTAATGCAATAATCCACTTTGGCTTTAAGAGCCTCAGTAAACTCTGCAGAGCCTGAACTAGATTTACACACAAGTGATGAAAAACAACTGAATTCTACTTTGATTCTAATCTGCTTTAGTGGAAAAGCTACATTTTCTATTGGTTTTTTCTTTATGATTTCCTGCTGATTTTTGACCTGGAAGACATAAATGGCCGACAGTGAAAATGAAGCCGTCTGATATGGAAAAAGGTGGAGATCCAGGCTGAGATCAAGACTGAACAGAAAAACTAAGAACTGACCCTTCATCTCTGATCCTACATCTTTCAGACGTTTAGATGAAGCTTTGCATCAATCCTCTGGAACAGGAGAGTTAAACAACATGCAGGGCGCTGCGCCAAGAGGAGCAGGGATGGGAGGATAAATCGCCGTCAGTCCTGTTGTTCTCCTGGGGACGTAAAACACACCTTCTACCACCAGGATGTCCAGGTGAGGGACGGGGAGGTGAGTCTGCTGAGGCTGAGGAGCAGCAGCTCTGATCTGATTCCTTTGGCAGGAAAAGGAACTCTGCTCATTTCTCCACAGGTGGATCCGTTTAGCTTAGAAACTGAAGCAGACGAGCTCTACGCTGGTTTTCACGTGAAAAAAACCAGAAAACGGTTGAAATAAAAAGCGAGCCTATAGGAGAGAAACAGGACTAAACACTGAAGAACTGAAAATATTAAAAAACAAAAACAAAAGAACTACAGAAATGACTTTAGCATCTTCAGGTGCCTTGGTTGACTCAGCCAGCGTTGCCAACTCAGCGACTCTGTCGCTATAATTAGCAACTTTTCAGACCCCTCAAGCAACTAGCGACAAATCTGGCAACTTTTCTGGTGTCCGCTGTGGGGCGCCTCCCCCGTCCCGTCCTCTCAGCGCTGCAGCCAGAGCCGCAGCGTCCAGACTGCAGATGAGCGGCGTGCGTTTGCACCGGGATTGACGGCGCCGGTTGATCACGCTGGAGTCGGATCCCTCAGTTGCTGAACCTGCCATAGAGAACATTGACCAACATGACGAGGAAAATGCACGTTCTGCTGACAGGAACTCACATTAATAGCAGCCATGATCCAGAAAGCGTACGACACCCTGGTGACCACGACCCCCTCCGTGTAGAGAGGGTACCAGGAGGCGTTGTGCAGCGCCGCTCCGTGCCCAGCCAGGGTGTTACGGAGGTGTTCCAGGTCCGAGGACGACGAGTTGGCCGTGCGATTGGCTGAGAGGACGCAGCTGTCTTCTGCCAGGAAGGGGTCGACCACCAGGGGGCTCACCAGGGCGCCGCAGCCGATGAAGAAATGCAACGCCTAGAGAGACACATCAAGATGGCTGCTTCAGAGACTGACAGGAAGTAGAAATCTATCATCTTTTTTAAACACGTTCTCTGCAAACGCTGTAGAGAAACACAAAGTATGGAATATTTAAGAATAAAGGGAGAAAAATATGAAAAAGGTTTTTTATTTTGTTGAATAAAATCTGGAAAGTGTGGCTCCCATTTTATCTAACCCCTTTAACTCTGATACCCCTGAATAAATCATAGAAAGGCCCCTCCCCCACCTACATCAGTTTTCTATCTAAGGAAAACCAGCTGATTGCATCGACTCATTGACTCTTCAGCAATCCCTCACACTAAGCATGCTTGTAGCGACAGTGGAGAGGAAAAACTCCCTTTGAACAGGAAGAAACCTCCAGCAGAACCAGGCTCAGTGTGAGCGGCCATCTGCTGAGGCCCACTGGGGTTCAAGGAGACAGAAGCAGACATAGAAAAAGAAGCATAGATGCAAAAGGCTCCCATGTCAGAGGATGAAGAGAGCAAAAAAGTCCTGTTGCTGCAATGAAATGACCCGCCTCCAGCTGCCAGAGTGACTCACTAACAGCAGGAATTATAACAAGATTGTAAAAACTCTATAAATAAACATTTTGCATTTAAGATAAAAAACTTTATCCAGAACTCCTGAAGTGGAAAAGATTTTATTTAGTGTAAATCTAACCTTTGGCTGTCTGATTATTGATCAAAAAAACTATCAATTTTATAAAGGATCTAATTTAATCTAATTATTATAATTAGCAACAATCAGAGGAGATCTAAAGTTTCCTTGAATTCAGTTCTGACGTTTCAATAAAGGTTGCACTGCAAAAAATTTAAATCTAAATGAGTAATTTTTGCTTGAATTAACTGCATTTTTCTTAAAATGAGGAGGAGCCAATGGAACTAGATAATTTACAATTAGAATAAGAAAAAAAATTGCTTTGTCTTATTTCAAGTGCATATTAACTAAGGCGTAAAAATACTCGTTCCATTGGAAAATCATCTTATTTATCTGCTTAAATTAAGGGTAAATACCCTTGATTTAAGAATTGTTTTACTTATTTCTAGATGGTTTTTGCAGTGTGGAAGCTGTTCCTGCAGCTCCTGTTTAGAACCGCTCAGTCAAACCTGCAGGATTTAAAGGCTTAAGACAAAATAGAAAATCAAAACTTGCTTCATAGATTCTACGGAAGAGGATTAGGGCCACTGAAAAAAAAAAAAAGTAAACTGATTTTTTTTTTTATTTTATTTCAGTTTAACATGAGAAAAAAGTCAGCATTCTGACTTTTTTCTCATGTTAAACTGAAATAAAATTTAAAAATCAGTTAACTTTTTGTTTCTTTTTTCAGTGGCCCTAATCGTCTTCCGTAATTTCTCTCCTTTCAGTGCGACTTAACATTCTGCCGACTTCAGATTGGCAAAATCTCTCGTGTTACAAACACGAGAGATTTATGGGATATTTAATTGTTAGATTCCAAATATTGTGAGATCATATTTCATAAAGGACAAAAATGAATCTGAAGCACAAAGGATTTTTTAAACAGAGCTTTTCCTGCAGGAATGAGAAACGCTGCTGCTCACATCCCAGCATCAATCTGACCCCCAACAGAACAGCAGAGTCTTTTATTCACAGAGCAGAAACAGATGGGGGAGGGGTTTATGACCCTAGAATGACCAAGTGGCTGAGAGGCGGGTCATAAAGGTTTATGACCCGCCTCAAAGATTAAATTGTTGACAAGTTTTAAGGTGTAGAAATACTTCCCTAGAAGCTGTTGCAGGTTCATTTCTATACTAGGCTGGATGTAGATAAACAGAGAGACCAATTCAACTGATCGTTTCAAAGAGCGAAAGGAAACCGACCTGCAGGAAGATGGCCGAGTCCTTCTGGTAGAGCTTCACCAGCTGCAGGTTCCCAATGGTGTCTATGACGCCCATGGCCGCTCCGGCCACGCCCATAGCGACGGCCAGCAGAACCACATGGTGACAGAGTGGAATGATGGCGAAGACGACGGAGATGATGAGGGTGGAGGTGAGGAGGGCTGATAGAGACGACAACAGGCTTGATAAAGAAGAGACAAAGGGAGGAAACGTTAGACCAACATTTCTAGATAAACTTTCCATTGGGTTCCTGTAGTGGTGGAGCTCTGCCCACTGGTCACCACCAACCCGTTCACGTTTCTAACTGGTTTTCCTGGTAGACGACCCCAGCTTGGAGGAAAAAAGGGAGAAGACCGCCCAAATTTGGTTTCAAATTGTTTGCATATTTCAATGTTACTTTTGACCTTTACACACTGTCTTCTTTTCAGATTTAATTTTACAGATCTCAGTTCTTCTGGATTAATTAGTTGAGTTAAAAGTGAGGTGAAGAGAACGCCGTCCGTTCAGCACTATTTCCAAGGAATGCAAAACTCAAACTGAAAAGAACCTTTTGAAAAATATTAATTATAAATAAAACAAAATATAAAGCTAGAAAAATAAAATATATATATATAAAAAGACAAGAATAAAATATGAGAAAACAAACCGTTTTTGATTAAAACATTTTTCAAAGTTTCATTTTCAGTTCTCTCCATGCCTCTAATTGTTTACATGCATCTTTATTAACGACCTTTAATTAATAAGGTAGAAAAGTTCAAAAGCTTGATCACTAGAGTTATGTTTAAAAATGGAAACGGTTGCATCAGGTGACAGAGAAGGAAACTCCTCCCAGACCGTCGCCTCAAAGCTCCTTTTCCCTCCAGGTCGTCTCACAGCTGCTGCTGTTCCAATAACTTATTTACTTTGTCATCTTATCTCCTCCTGCTTCTTTGCTGTTTCCACCTGATCTTTACTTTGGGAGCTCAGTCAGTCAAACTTTCCGTTTCCTCCTCCGGATTTTTGTTCCGTCTTGTTCAGAATCAGTGAGATTCACATGGACTCTGTGGGAAAACGAGCTGCTGGTGATTGGTCACTAGTGAGCTGATGGTTATTGCTCACTAGTGAGCTGCTGGTTATTGGTCACTAGTGAGCTGCTGGTTATTGCTCACTAGTGAGCTGCTGGTTATTGGTCACTAGTGAGCTGCTGGTTATTGGTCACTAG